TTTTTTTATTCACTGTGCACCACATTTTACTGAAACTTCTCAACATACAGCATCACCACTCGTAGGTCATGCTTCTTCTCCCACCACACATTTTACTCTGGGTAGCTCGGAGCGGTTGGTTGCGAGCTGTTGCTTTGATCCGGACCAAACCTCAGACGTGTACTGTCACTCCGAGGAACCATCAGAAGTGCGTTTTCCTTTTCCAGAACCGCACCCACCCACGTCGAAATAATACGAAATAATACAATTGTCACAGCGCCGTGTTGCTCCCAAGCTCATTGGTGCAAGAAACTGGACTGCTTCTGGCTCCGCCGCAAGTCCTGTGATCTGTCCTGTCCTGAGTCCTGTGATCTATCCTGTCTTGTCCTGTCCCTCGTGGAAAGTCGGAAGAAGCTTTACACTCGCAGGCGAGTCGGTCCATAGACAGAAACCGCCATTACCAGGACACCCAATGGGCAAAGGCCTCTCTACGTCCTGTGATTTGAATTTGAATTTGATCTGAATAAATTTTCAAGGACAATATGACAGTTGTGTGGGCGCATTTTTCGATTCTTCGCGCTACGGATGTTGCGTCTGTACTCTAGGGCTTTGGCCCCACTTTTCGGGCGCCGGTTTATTCATGCGTCACGTATTTTAAATTGTAAGTGAACTCATAATTATGATAAGATTTTAGCGCCGGTTAATGTTAAAATGCCTTCGCTATCGCCAACCATGACCGAGGGTTCTATTGTTCAATGGAGCAAGAAGGAAGGTACGTAATACGATGATGATCAACCTGTTCTTCTTAGGAGAAGAAATCGCTCCTGGAGACATGCTTTGTGAGGTGCAAACAGATAAAGCCGTTGTGGCTCTTGAAACAGACGATGAGGGCATCCTCGCCAAAATAATTGTGAGTGGACTCAACTTTCGCCCTCCGGTTTACGTACACATGGATGTTCGTTTGCTCTGGTTAATCCTTGTTTTTTTAATATAAAGTTGTTCGCTAGTAAGTCGCTAAGATACACCAGAGTGTTGGTAATGCAAAGTGACACGCAGTCGTGTCAACGTTCAGCATCTGCACAAGCAGGTCCGAGTAAAATTCCGCCACCCGTCGTTGTTTGCATCGACTCAAGTAGGGCGGGACAGCAACGACAAGATCAACCGTCAGATATTCTAGGCATTTCGCAGTGGAAAGTGTCATCCCAACAATTTTAGGTTAGTTATCTCTACTGGTTAGAACACTTAATGTGCAAACCTAGCAATTGCGTTTTACCTGGGATTATCGCTCCGGAGTGGCAAAAGTCGCGTTGAGATGGAGCATAAAGAACCGAATAGAGCAATTGTGTGCAGTAGGCGGTTCCGTTCTTTCAGTCCCGGCTCCAAAATAGACCAACTGGTTATTTGGAACGAGTGATATACTTCACTGCAAACCGAGATTAACGTTCCGAACATGCTGGAACAGTTAAACACGGCTACACTGTATGTACTGCGTCGATCATATTACTTGATGCTGAATTGTTTACATTCTACATTTGAATGAATTGGTTTCATGGAGGTCTTGCTCATTTAGGGCTAATTAGCATTCGCTATTTGTTGGACCAGGTGATGGCGAGCAAAGATCGCAAAATTCTCGTCTTCCTCTAGGGACTGTTAGCGCAGTTCCACATGAGTCTCCTCGCCGCAACTCAAGACTGGGTGTTTTCTACCCCAGCACTGATGCTTGATGGTCAAGAGTTTAATGAAGTGGTATATTTCACCTTAGGTAGCTGCGTTTCAAATGACGGTAGCATGGTTAATGAAGTAGCCGCCCGCATTTCCAAGGCTCGAGCAGCTTACGTAGGATTGAACCACCTTTGGTGCAGACGTGATGTTTCTTTTAAAGTGAAAGGTCTTGTATACTGCGCCAGTGTGCGGTCAGTTCTGCTCTGTGGTTGTGAGACCCTAAATTTGCGCGTGGAAGATATTCGTCGTCGTGAAGTATTCGACTGTAGATGTTTACGTAGTTTAGCACGGGTTGGATAGAGCGAGCGTATAAGCAACTCTGAGGTAAGCCGTCGCGTATTTAATGAATCGATGGAGAATTCACTGTCCCATAGAATTCATATTTCGAGTGGTGGTGGCGCAGTGGTTTAGTCGCTGTCACCGGCGTGCTTTGGACCCTATGGTCCGAGGTTCGAGCACCGCCACCCGACTTTGGTGGTAGGCAGCTCTGCTGTCGTCTGGTTCAATACCACGCCTAACCTATCGGGGTCCTATGCGGTTCGTCACTCCAAGTTCCGGGGCTTAGGTTGCCGATTTCAACCACTGAACAGCAGGTCTTCGTTACTATGAGGTTTACCCCGTCTGCTGTTCATCACACCTAGGTGTGTAATAAAAAAAGTCGGTTTCGCTGTTTAGGACACGTATTGCGCATGCTCAGTCAACGTCTGCCGCACTGCGCCTTATTCGGAGTTGCGGCTTCAGGTTGGAAGAAACCGCGTGGTGGTCAACNCAACAGATGACGTGGAAGCGAGGCTTGAAGAAATGTACAGAGCGATTACGTAGAATCGGTGTCTCCCGTCTTCCAGGTTGGGGTCCGAAAGCCTGCAACTGGCTGGTTGGAGACACTGAAGGATAAGGCAACCAACCGACAGCGGTAGCGTTCTTGTCATTTCTTATCAGGTCAGAATGCTAAAAAAGTTATGTATGCATAGTTATATTGTGTTCTCTCCGTGTTGACCATAGTGGTTATTTTTCTTTGCCTCCCTCCATTTAGGCCCAATCCCTCCGTCTTGTTCTTTATCACTTGATTTGTGTACATTCTGAGCTTGGCAGCGATCACTGAAGTTCGCTTCACTGTATCTCGCTGTACGATGATGATGATAAATTGCACTACGGTCACGATCGATGTTGGTTTGGGGATGGCAAGTGGTGCGGTAAGCGAGGGAGTAAAGGAGGGTGGGGTCATCGACAAAAGAATAGATCTAATTGATAGTTTTGGAAAGAATAATAGAATAAAGAGGGTAGGTGCAAGTACTGAACCTCTAAGAACGCCAGAATTCACAAGGTGACTGAGATGAAACATCATCAACTCAGACGGAGATCATTCGCTTATTAAAGAAACTTGATGTCGGCCCTTCGAGAGCTGGAGGAAACCCGAACATGGGCGAATTCGCCAGTTAACCTTCGTGCCAAATTCGATTGAAGGTTTTTGAGATATCAAACGAAACCAAATGGAATTCTCCGTGGTTATCGAGTGCAACAGATCAGGATTGTAAGACAGCAGGTTCCCGGTGGAACGAAGTTGTCGTAACCCATGTTGGTAGTCGTTCAGTAGTCCTTCACGTTCGAGAAACTGACGTGGTTGATAGGAGATGATGATTTGAAATACTTTCAAAAGAACGGTTGCGAGAGAAATAGGTCGGTAATTTTGATGGCCAGTAAGGTCGCTGCGTTTGGGAATAGGAAAGATCACGGCGTTTCCAAGGAATTGGAAAAAGAGATTATGTAAAATGGAAGCCAGCTCGGGAGCACAGATTTTGAGGACAACGGGTGGAATACCGTCCGGACCGGGTAGTTTGCGTTAAGGGAGGGCAATATTTGGCGGATTTTCCTAGTCCTAATATGGTACATCATGATTGCCACCTGAAGAACGTACACTGGTGCACCGTTCGTCCAACAGAGGTCACTTTTACAAGTGATAATATTTCGAGCATTAACAAGAACTTATCAAAATAATGATTTTAAAGTTAAATCGAACTTTCACTCTGATGTATGATTAATGCACGCCCTGCTTGGGTTTTTTCCGTTTCCTTTATATTTTCAAAGGTGGATGCGAATGTACCAGGAATTAAAGTAGGTGACTTGATTGCTGTGATCGCTAGTCCGGGAGAAGACTGGAAAGAGGTTGCCGCAGCTGCACCTGCTGCGGCACCTCCTACTGAACCTGCCAAGGCAACAGAACAACCTGTATCTGCCGCACCACAANCGGAACTCCAGAACAAAAGCCTCCTGAAGCATCTGGTCCACGCTCCTCGGCAATGGGCCCAGCCGTGCGCGCCCTTCTACAAAAACACGGTCTAGATGCTTCTCAAATCCCGGCAACTGGTCCACATGGCCAGTTATTAAAAGGGTGAGATTATCTCGATCATTAACTATACCTCGCGTCACAGTTAATCACCTATGCTTTTTACCGTTTCACTGATGTTTGCGATTTTATAAGTCGGATTCGCTTTCACTGCACTCGAAACTTTTAACAGCGAATTTTTCTTGGATTATGACTGATCGCCACCTGCGTGGTGTGTATTCATGTGTCGCTCAGTCTTTTATTTTTATCACACTTTGTGATGGACAACAGAATCCCCATTGTGATGCGGATCTGGTGTTCATTCATCAAAACCGGCAGTCTAATCCCCGGGCATTGAATTGGCAAACCACATAATGCCCTGCAGGTTCGACGTGCTATTAAGCCAAACGACAGCGACGTTACCTACTATCAAGTGCAGTATTGGAGGGTTGAGGTCTTGCTCTGTTTTTTCCTGTAGTTTCCATTTTTCGTGTCTTCATCCGTAATAACTTTACTTGTTTTTTTTGTGACTGAAGTGTAAGGGCCTCGATGACCATCAGGTCAAATAACTGCATTCTAAAATAGACTGAGCAAATCAATATCTCGAATGATATAGGTGTGTTTTGTATGGAGGTGTAAACGTCTTTGGGTAAACTACGGAATTCCGTTGAAGTGGTATGTTTAGATCAATGTTCAGCGGCAATTTTGGCTCACAGGTAGCTGCCTCAACTATTAGCGATTAAGGTACTTTGGGTTATTCCATTAGCTATAACCCTTATTGAGGATTCGGACAGGTGAAGCATTAAGGGCGATTATGTTGGATTCAGTACAGACTTTGTCCAAGATATGTGTTGGGATCGACAAAGTGATAGATGTTTGGAGCTGTGTCTGTAAGGATTGGTGTTATATATATATATATATATATATATATATATGTGTGTGTCACCGGCGTGCTTTAGACCCCATTGTCCGAGGTTCAAGCCCCGCCACTGCCACCGGACTTTGGTGGTAGGCAGCTCTGCTGTCGTCCGGTTCAATACCACACCCAACCCATCGGGGCCTTATGTGGTTTACCACTCCAAGTCCCGGGGCTTAGGTTAAAGGTTTCCATCACTGAACAGCAGGTCCTCGTGATTATGGGGTTCCACCCCATTTGCTGTTCATCACACGAAAGTGTGTAATAAAAAAATATATACATATAAAAATTGCGGAGAGTGCATGGGGTACACAATCAGCAAATGAATAGCCAGGTTGCGCGACGAGGGAGATATGTTTGTCTATGGTAGAATTACCTCGATCACATACAGTGTGAATCATGATGCTCAGAAAGTACATCAAACGGGTCTAATAGGTGTGCGGGAGAACTCGGAGTGAATATGTATGATAGGGTGGGACAATGTTAAACGTCCAATAAGATTAATTTCTAAATGGGTCTGATTTTAATTGTTCCAGGTCGGTGATAAGCTTATGTTAATACAAGGTTACGCTGTTTCGCATGTGTTGGCCTCCCTCAAACAGGATTATTCCGTATCCATTCCACAAGTTTGATTTTACTTGTGAAGATTATAAGCACTAAATTAATCAGCACAATTTACTTCCCTTGAACGATGATGGTGACTACTTTAGACATTCATCTGTTCCTCATTGATTCGCCTATCCGTTCTTTTTTATCGTAGTGATGTTATGGCATTCATTGCGAGTGGCGGTAGCCGTCCTTCTACAGCACAACCGACCGCACAGCCCTCGCCCGCAGGAGCAGTGCCACCACCCACTACAA